CCCTCGGAAAGGCGTCCATGTCTCCCTCCTGTCGGCTGCCGACCGTAGCGCCCGTACCGCGGTTTCCGGCCCTGGCGATAGCAAGAGGGGCTCGGAGGCGGCAACGCCGGGTTGCGCTGCTCTAGTTACGTTCTGACACACCCACCGAGACGAACCATACCGGCGGAAACCCTCGGAAAGGCGTCCATGTCTCCCTCCTGTCGGCTGCCGACCGTAGCGCCCGTACCGCGGTTTCCGGCCCTGGCGATAGCAAGACGGGCTCGGAGGCGGCAACGCCGGGTTGCACTGCTCTAGTTACGTTCTGACACACCCACCGAGACGAACCATACCGGTGGAAACCCTCGGAAAGGCCTCCATGTCTCCCTCCTGTCGGCTGCCGACCGTAGCGCCCGTACCGCGGTTTCCGGCCCTGGCGATAGCAAGACGGGCTCGGAGGCGGCAACGCCGGGTTGCACTGCTCTAGTTACGTTCTGACACACCCACCGAGACGAACCATACCGGCGGAAACCCTCGGAAAGGCGTCCATGTCTCCCTCCTGTCGGCTGCCGACCGTAGCGCCCGTACCGCGGTTTCCGGCCCTGGCGATAGCAAGACGGGCTCGGAGGCGGCAACGCCGGGTTGCACTGCTCTAGTTACGTTCTGACACACCCACCGAGACGAACCATACCGGCGGAAACCCTCGGAAAGGCGTCCATGTCTCCCTCCTGTCGGCTGCCGACCGTAGCGCCCGTACCGCGGTTTCCGGCCCTGGCGATAGCAAGACGGGCTCGGAGGCGGCAACGCCGGGTTGCACTGCTCTAGTTACGTTCTGACACACCCACCGAGACGAACCATACCGGCGGAAACCCTCGGAAAGGCGTCCATGTCTCCCTCCTGTCGGCTGCCGACCGTAGCGCCCGTACCGCGGTTTCCGGCCCTGGCGATAGCAAGACGGGCTCGGAGACGGCAACGCCGGGTTGCACTGCTCTAGTTACGTTCTGACACACCCACCGAGACGAACCATACCGGCGGAAACCCTCGGAAAGGCGTCCATGTCTCCCTCCTGTCGGCTGCCGACCGTAGCGCCCGTACCGCGGTTTCCGGCCCTGGCGATAGCAAGACGGGCTCGGAGACGGCAACGCCGGGTTGCACTGCTCTAGTTACGTTCTGACACACCCACCGAGACGAACCATACCGGTGGAAACCTTCGGAAAGGCGTCCATGTCTCTCTCCTGTCGGCTGCCGACCGTAGCGCCCGTACCGCGGTTTCCGGCCCTGGCGATAGCAAGACGGGCTCGGAGGCGGCAACGCCGGGTTGCACTGCTCTAGTTACGTTCTGACACACCCACCGAGACGAACCATACCGGCGGAAACCCTCGGAAAGGCGTCCATGTCTCCCTCCTGTCGGCTGCCGACCGTAGCGCCCGTACCGCGGTTTCCGGCCCTGGCGATAGCAAGACGGGCTCGGAGACGGCAACGCCGGGTTGCACTGCTCTAGTTACGTTCTGACACACCCACCGAGACGAACCATACCGGTGGAAACCCTCGGAAAGGCGTCCATGTCTCCCTCCTGTCGGCTGCCGACCGTAGCGCCCGTACCGCGGTTTCCGGCCCTGGCGATAGCAAGAGGGGCTCGGAGGCGGCAACGCCGGGTTGCACTGCTCTAGTTACGTTCTGACACACCCACCGAGACGAACCATACCGGTGGAAACCCTCGGAAAGGCGTCCATGTCTCCCTCCTGTCGGCTGCCGACCGTAGCGCCCGTACCGCGGTTTCCGGCCCTGGCGATAGCAAGACGGGCTCGGAGGCGGCAACGCCGGGTTGCGCTGCTCTAGTTACGTTCTGACACACCCACCGAGACGAACCATACCAGCGGAAACCCTCGGAAAGGCGTCCATGTCTCCCTCCTGTCGGCTGCCGACCGTAGCGCCCGTACCGCGGTTTCCGGCCCTGGCGATAGCAAGACGGGCTCGGAGGCGGCAACGCCGGGTTGCGCTGCTCTAGTTACGTTCTGACACACCCACCGAGACGAACCATACCGGCGGAAACCCTCGGAAAGGCGTCCATGTCTCCCTCCTGTCGGCTGCCGACCGTAGCGCCCGTACCGCGGTTTCCGGCCCTGGCGATAGCAAGACGGGCTCGGAGGCGGCAACGCCGGGTTGCGCTGCTCTAGTTACGTTCTGACACACCCACCGAGACGAACCATACCGGTGGAAACCCTCGGAAAGGCGTCCATGTCTCCCTCCTGTCGGCTGCCGACCGTAGCGCCCGTACCGCGGTTTCCGGCCCTGGCGATAGCAAGACGGCCTCGGAGGCGGCAACGCCGGGTTGCACTGCTCTAGTTACGTTCTGACACACCCACCGGCGGAAACCCTCGGAAAGGCGTCCATGTCTCCCTCCTGTCGGCTGCCGACCGTAGCGCCCGTACCGCGGTTTCCGGCCCTGGCGATAGCAAGACGGGCTCGGAGGCGGCAACGCCGGGTTGCGCTGCTCTAGTTACGTTCTGACACACCCACCGAGACGAACCATACCGGCGGAAACCCTCGGAAAGGCGTCCATGTCTCCCTCCTGTCGGCTGCCGACCGTAGCGCCCGTACCGCGGTTTCCGGCCCTGGCGATAGCAAGACGGGCTCGGAGGCGGCAACGCCGGGTTGCGCTGCTCTAGTTACGTTCTGACACACCCACCGAGACGAACCATACCGGCGGAAACCCTCGGAAAGGCGTCCATGTCTCCCTCCTGTCGGCTGGCGACCGTAGCGCCCGTACCGCGGTTTCCGGCCCTGGCGATAGCAAGACGGGCTCGGAGGCGGCAACGCCGGGTTGCGCTGCTCTAGTTACGTTCTGACACACCCACCGAGACGAACCATACCGGTGGAAACCCTCGGAAAGGCGTCCATGTCTCCCTCCTGTCGGCTGCCGACCGTAGCGCCCGTACCGCGGTTTCCGGCCCTGGCGATAGCAAGACGGGCTCGGAGGCGGCAACGCCGGGTTGCGCTGCTCTAGTTACGTTCTGAACACCCACCGAGACGAACCATACCGGCGGAAACCCTCGGAAAGGCGTCCATGTCTCCCTCCTGTCGGCTGCCGACCGTAGCGCCCGTACCGCGGTTTCCGGCCCTGGCGATAGCAAGACGGGCTCGGAGGCGGCAACGCCGGGTTGCGCTGCTCTAGTTTCGTTCTGAACACCCACCGAGACGAACCATACCGGCGGAAACCCTCGGAAAGGCGTCCATGTCTCCCTCCTGTCGGCTGCCGACCGTAGCGCCCGTACCGCGGTTTCCGGCCCTGGCGATAGCAAGACGGGCTCGGAGGCGGCAACGCCGGGTTGCGCTGCTCTAGTTACGTTCTGACACACCCACCGAGACGAACCATACCGGCGGAAACCCTCGGAAAGGCGTCCATGTCTCCCTCCTGTCGGCTGCCGACCGTAGCGCCCGTACCGCGGTTTCCGGCCCTGGCGATAACAAGACGGGCTCGGAGGCGGCAACGCCGGGTTGCGCTGCTCTAGTTACGTTCTGACACACCCACCGAGACGAACCATACCGGCGGAAACCCTCGGAAAGGCGTCCATGTCTCCCTCCTGTCGGCTGCCGACCGTAGCGCCCGTACCGCGGTTTCCGGCCCTGGCGATAGCAAGACGGGCTCGGAGGCGGCAACGCCGGGTTGCTCTGCTCTAGTTACGTTCTGACACACCCACCGAGACGAACCATACCGGTGGAAACCCTCGGAAAGGCGTCCATGTCTCCCTCCTGTCGGCTGCCGACCGTAGCGCCCGTACCGCGGTTTCCGGCCCTGGCGATAGCAAGACGGGCTCGGAGGCGGCAACGCCGGGTTGCGCTGCTCTAGTTACATTCTGACACACCCACCGAGACGAACCATACCGGCGGAAACCCTCGGAAAGGCGTCCATGTCTCCCTCCTGTCGGCTGGCGACCGTAGCGCCCGTACCGCGGTTTCCGGCCCTGGCGATAGCAAGACGGGCTCGGAGGCGGCAACGCCGGGTTGCACTGCTCTAGTTACGTTCTGACACACCCACCGAGACGAACCATACCGGCGGAAACCCTCGGAAAGGCGTCCATGTCTCCCTCCTGTCGGCTGCCGACCGTAGCGCCCGTACCGCGGTTTCCGGCCCTGGCGATAGCAAGAGGGGCTCGGAGGCGGCAACGCCGGGTTGCGCTGCTCTAGTTACGTTCTGACACACCCACCGAGACGAACCATACCGGCGGAAACCCTCGGAAAGGCGTCCATGTCTCCCTCCTGTCGGCTGCCGACCGTAGCGCCCGTACCGCGGTTTCCGGCCCTGGCGATAGCAAGACGGGCTCGGAGGCGGCAACGCCGGGTTGCACTGCTCTAGTTACGTTCTGACACACCCACCGAGACGAACCATACCGGCGGAAACCCTCGGAAAGGCGTCCATGTCTCCCTCCTGTCGGCTGCCGACCGTAGCGCCCGTACCGCGGTTTCCGGCCCTGGCGATAGCAAGACGGGCTCGGAGGCGGCAACGCCGGGTTGCACTGCTCTAGTTACGTTCTGACACACCCACCGAGACGAACCATACCGGCGGAAACCCTCGGAAAGGCGTCCATGTCTCCCTCCTGTCGGCTGCCGACCGTAGCGCCCGTACCGCGGTTTCCGGCCCTGGCGATAGCAAGACGGGCTCGGAGGCGGCAACGCCGGGTTGCACTGCTCTAGTTACGTTCTGACACACCCACCGAGACGAACCATACCGGCGGAAACCCTCGGAAAGGCGTCCATGTCTCCCTCCTGTCGGCTGCCGACCGTAGCGCCCGTACCGCGGTTTCCGGCCCTGGCGATAGCAAGACGGGCTCGGAGACGGCAACGCCGGGTTGCACTGCTCTAGTTACGTTCTGACACACCCACCGAGACGAACCATACCGGCGGAAACCCTAGGAAAGGCGTCCATGTCTCTCTCCTGTCGGCTGCCGACCGTAGCGCCCGTACCGCGGTTTCCGGCCCTGGCGATAGCAAGACGGGCTCGGAGACGGCAACGCCGGGTTGCGCTGCTCTAGTTACGTTCTGACACACCCACCGAGACGAACCATACCGGCGGAAACCCTCGGAAAGGCGTCCATGTCTCCCTCCTGTCGGCTGCCGACCGTAGCGCCCGTACCGCGGTTTCCGGCCCTAGCGATAGCAAGACGGGCTCGGAGGCGGCAACGCCGGGTTGCACTGCTCTAGTTACGTTCTGACACACCCACCGAGACGAACCATACCGGCGGAAACCCTCGGAAAGGCGTCCATGTCTCCCTCCTGTCGGCTGCCGACCGTAGCGCCCGTACCGCGGTTTCCGGCCCTGGCGATAGCAAGACGGGCTCGGAGACGGCAACGCCGGGTTGCGCTGCTCTAGTTACGTTCTGACACACCCACCGAGACGAACCATACCGGCGGAAACCCTCGGAAAGGCGTCCATGTCTCCCTCCTGTCGGCTGCCGACCGTAGCGCCCGTACCGCGGTTTCCGGCCCTGGCGATAGCAAGACGGGCTCGGAGGCGGCAACGCCGGGTTGCACTGCTCTAGTTACGTTCTGACACACCCACCGAGACGAACCATACCGGCGGAAACCCTCGGAAAGGCGTCCATGTCTCCCTCCTGTCGGCTGCCGACCGTAGCGCCCGTACCGCGGTTTCCGGCCCTGGCGATAGCAAGACGGGCTCGGAGGCGGCAACGCCGGGTTGCGCTGCTCTAGTTACGTTCTGACACACCCACCGAGACGAACCATACCGGCGGAAACCCTCGGAAAGGCGTCCATGTCTCCCTCCTGTCGGCTGCCGACCGTAGCGCCCGTACCGCGGTTTCCGGCCCTGGCGATAGCAAGACGGGCTCGGAGGCGGCAACGCCGGGTTGCACTGCTCTAGTTACGTTCTGACACACCCACCGAGACGAACCATACCGGCGGAAACCCTCAGAAAGGCGTCCATGTCTCCCTCCTGTCGGCTGCCGACCGTAGCGCCCGTACCGCGGTTTCCGGCCCTGGCGATAGCAAGACGGGCTCGGAGGCGGCAACGCCGGGTTGCGCTGCTCTAGTTACGTTCTGACACACCCACCGAGACGAACCATACCGGCGGAAACCCTCGGAAAGGCGTCCATGTCTCCCTCCTGTCGGCTGCCGACCGTAGCGCCCGTACCGCGGTTTCCGGCCCTGGCGATAGCAAGACGGGCTCGGAGGCGGCAACGCCGGGTTGCGCTGCTCTAGTTACGTTCTGACACACCCACCGAGACGAACCATACCGGCGGAAACCCTCAGAAAGGCGTCCATGTCTCCCTCCTGTCGGCTGCCGACCGTAGCGCCCGTACCGCGGTTTCCGGCCCTGGCGATAACAAGACGGCCTCGGAGGCGGCAACGCCGGGTTGCGCTGCTCTAGTTACGTTCTGACACACCCACCGAGACGAACCATACCGGCGGAAACCCTCGGAAAGGCGTCCATGTCTCCCTCCTGTCGGCTGCCGACCGTAGCGCCCGTACCGCGGTTTCCGGCCCTGGCGATAGCAAGACGGGCTCGGAGGCGGCAACGCCGGGTTGCGCTGCTCTAGTTACGTTCTGACACACCCACCGAGACGAACCATACCGGTGGAAACCCTCGGAAAGGCGTCCATGTCTCCCTCCTGTCGGCTGCCGACCGTAGCGCCCGTACCGCGGTTTCCGGCCCTGGCGATAACAAGACGGGCTCGGAGGCGGCAACGCCGGGTTGCGCTGCTCTAGTTACGTTCTGACACACCCACCGAGACGAACCATACCGGCGGAAACCCTCGGAAAGGCGTCCATGTCTCCCTCCTGTCGGCTGCCGACCGTAGCGCCCGTACCGCGGTTTCCGGCCCTGGCGATAGCAAGACGGGCTCGGAGGCGGCAACGCCGGGTTGCGCTGCTCTAGTTACGTTCTGACACACCCACCGAGACGAACCATACCGGTGGAAACCCTCGGAAAGGCGTCCATGTCTCCCTCCTGTCGGCTGCCGACCGTAGCGCCCGTACCGCGGTTTCCGGCCCTGGCGATAGCAAGACGGGCTCGGAGGCGGCAACGCCGGGTTGCACTGCTCTAGTTACGTTCTGACACACCCACCGAGACGAACCATACCGGCGGAAACCCTCGGAAAGGCGTCCATGTCTCCCTCCTGTCGGCTGCCGACCGTAGCGCCCGTACCGCGGTTTCCGGCCCTGGCGATAGCAAGACGGGCTCGGAGGCGGCAACGCCGGGTTGCGCTGCTCTAGTTACGTTCTGACACACCCACCGAGACGAACCATACCGGCGGAAACCCTCGGAAAGGCGTCCATGTCTCCCTCCTGTCGGCTGCCGACCGTAGCGCCCGTACCGCGGTTTCCGGCCCTGGCGATAGCAAGACGGGCTCGGAGGCGGCAACGCCGGGTTGCGCTGCTCTAGTTACGTTCTGACACACCCACCGAGACGAACCATACCGGCGGAAACCCTCGGAAAGGCGTCCATGTCTCCCTCCTGTCGGCTGCCGACCGTAGTGCCCGTACCGCGGTTTCCGGCCCTGGCGATAGCAAGACGGGCTCGGAGGCGGCAACGCCGGGTTGCGCTGCTCTAGTTACGTTCTGACACACCCACCGAGACGAACCATACCGGCGGAAACCCTCGGAAAGGCGTCCATGTCTCCCTCCTGTCGGCTGCCGACCGTAGCGCCCGTACCGCGGTTTCCGGCCCTGGCGATAGCAAGACGGGCTCGGAGGCGGCAACGCCGGGTTGCACTGCTCTAGTTACGTTCTGACACACCCACCGAGACGAACCATACCGGCGGAAACCCTCGGAAAGGCGTCCATGTCTCCCTCCTGTCGGCTGCCGACCGTAGCGCCCGTACCGCGGTTTCCGGCCCTGGCGATAACAAGACGGGCTCGGAGGCGGCAACGCCGGGTTGCGCTGCTCTAGTTACGTTCTGACACACCCACCGAGACGAACCATACCGGCGGAAACCCTCGGAAAGGCGTCCATGTCTCCCTCCTGTCGGCTGCCGACCGTAGCGCCCGTACCGCGGTTTCCGGCCCTGGCGATAGCAAGACGGGCTCGGAGGCGGCAACGCCGGGTTGCACTGCTCTAGTTACGTTCTGACACACCCACCGAGACGAACCATACCGGCGGAAACCCTCGGAAAGGCGTCCATGTCTCCCTCCTGTCGGCTGCCGACCGTAGCGCCCGTACCGCGGTTTCCGGCCCTGGCGATAGCAAGACGGGCTCGGAGGCGGCAACGCCGGGTTGCACTGCTCTAGTTACGTTCTGACACACCCACCGAGACGAACCATACCGGCGGAAACCCTCGGAAAGGCGTCCATGTCTCCCTCCTGTCGGCTGCCGACCGTAGCGCCCGTACCGCGGTTTCCGGCCCTGGCGATAGCAAGACGGGCTCGGAGGCGGCAACGCCGGGTTGCACTGCTCTAGTTACGTTCTGACACACCCACCGAGACGAACCATACCGGCGGAAACCCTCGGAAAGGCGTCCATGTCTCCCTCCTGTCGGCTGCCGACCGTAGCGCCCGTACCGCGGTTTCCGGCCCTGGCGATAGCAAGACGGGCTCGGAGGCGGCAACGCCGGGTTGCACTGCTCTAGTTACGTTCTGACACACCCACCGAGACGAACCATACCGGCGGAAACCCTCGGAAAGGCGTCCATGTCTCCCTCCTGTCGGCTGCCGACCGTAGCGCCCGTACCGCGGTTTCCGGCCCTGGCGATAGCAAGACGGGCTCGGAGGCGGCAACGCCGGGTTGCACTGCTCTAGTTACGTTCTGACACACCCACCGAGACGAACCATACCGGCGGAAACCCTCGGAAAGGCGTCCATGTCTCCCTCCTGTCGGCTGCCGACCGTAGCGCCCGTACCGCGGTTTCCGGCCCTGGCGATAGCAAGAGGGGCTCGGAGGCGGCAACGCCGGGTTGCACTGCTCTAGTTACGTTCTGACACACCCACCGAGACGAACCATACCGGCGGAGACCCTCGGAAAGGCGTCCATGTCTCCCTCCTGTCGGCTGCCGACCGTAGCGCCCGTACCGCGGTTTCCGGCCCTGGCGATAGCAAGAGGGGCTCGGAGGCGGCAACGCCGGGTTGCACTGCTCTAGTTACGTTCTGACACACCCACCGAGACGAACCATACCGGCGGAAACCCTCGGAAAGGCGTCCATGTCTCCCTCCTGTCGGCTGCCGACCGTAGCGCCCGTACCGCGGTTTCCGGCCCTGGCGATAGCAAGAGGGGCTCGGAGGCGGCAACGCCGGGTTGCACTGCTCTAGTTACGTTCTGACACACCCACCGAGACGAACCATACCGGCGGAAACCCTCGGAAAGGCGTCCATGTCTCCCTCCTGTCGGCTGCCGACCGTAGCGCCCGTACCGCGGTTTCCGGCCCTGGCGATAGCAAGAGGGGCTCGGAGGCGGCAACGCCGGGTTGCACTGCTCTAGTTACGTTCTGACACACCCACCGAGACGAACCATACCGGCGGAAACCCTCGGAAAGGCGTCCATGTCTCCCTCCTGTCGGCTGCCGACCGTAGCGCCCGTACCGCGGTTTCCGGCCCTGGCGATAGCAAGAGGGGCTCGGAGGCGGCAACGCCGGGTTGCGCTGCTCTAGTTACGTTCTGACACACCCACCGAGACGAACCATACCGGCGGAGACCCTCGGAAAGGCGTCCATGTCTCCCTCCTGTCGGCTGCCGACCGTAGCGCCCGTACCGCGGTTTCCGGCCCTGGCGATAGCAAGAGGGGCTCGGAGGCGGCAACGCCGGGTTGCACTGCTCTAGTTACGTTCTGACACACCCACCGAGACGAACCATACCGGCGGAAACCCTCGGAAAGGCGTCCATGTCTCCCTCCTGTCGGCTGCCGACCGTAGCGCCCGTACCGCGGTTTCCGGCCCTGGCGATAGCAAGACGGGCTCGGAGGCGGCAACGCCGGGTTGCACTGCTCTAGTTACGTTCTGACACACCCACCGAGACGAACCATACCGGCGGAAACCCTCGGAAAGGCGTCCATGTCTCCCTCCTGTCGGCTGCCGACCGTAGCGCCCGTACCGCGGTTTCCGGCCCTGGCGATAGCAAGAGGGGCTCGGAGGCGGCAACGCCGGGTTGCACTGCTCTAGTTACGTTCTGACACACCCACCGAGACGAACCATACCGGCGGAAACCCTCAGAAAGGCGTCCATGTCTCCCTCCTGTCGGCTGCCGACCGTAGCGCCCGTACCGCGGTTTCCGGCCCTAGCGATAGCAAGACGGGCTCGGAGGCGGCAACGCCGGGTTGCGCTGCTCTAGTTACGTTCTGACACACCCACCGAGACGAACCATACCGGTGGAAACCCTCGGAAAGGCGTCCATGTCTCCCTCCTGTCGGCTGCCGACCGTAGCGCC